ATAGCAAAACATACGGTTAGCAATAAGTTTTAATTATATATTTGAAACATTACTTCTGTGAATACATGTTGTAAGTCGGAGCATGTATGTATACAGCCATTGACTTAATCTCTCCACAAAATACATAACCACATAATCTCATTATTATGTGATCTTAATAATAATATTATTATTATAGCAACAATTATATTTCACTGAAATTCTCTTACATGGAAAATATATACAAAATACTATCTTTTACCTGCGGGTGGATGTGCCGTGTAGTCATGGTCTGCAGTAGCATCTTCAGCCTCTCCAAAGCAGACTCTCTCATTGCCGGTGCAGTGAAGTTATTCCAGGCAAACAGGGAAGGATCAGCTCCACTTCTAAGGCGGCTGGTGGTGGATCCGCTAACAAAATCCTCCGGTGTGAAGTGGCGGCTACATACGAAAGTGCTCCCCCGTCTTTATGCAAAAGTCCGGACCTTCATCTCTTCGGATCCCCTGGATCCACTGCCTCCGTTTGTCCGGGTCCGTCGGGAACGCATGATATGACAGATAAGGCTGTTTTCTTGCCCCACATGAACAACCAAGGGACTGAACAAAAACAACTGCGCCGAGACTGAGCCATTTTCCTAGCCTTTTAATGCTAACACTATAGCCATCGGAAGTTGTCCAACCTCACATCCGCCCCTTTCCCGCGCATGCGCAAAACCGCCCCTGCCCCGCGCATGCGCACAAACTCCCGGCCTCCGCGCATGCGCACAACCTCCTGGGCCCCACGCATGCGCACAACCTCCCAGGCCACGCGCATGCGCACAACCTCCTGGTCTCCGCGCATGCGCACAACTTCCCGTGCCCCGCGCATGCGCACAATTGCTCCGGCCAGTGCGGGTGGATGTGCCGTGTAGTCATGGTCCGCAGTAGCATCTTCAGCCTGGCTAGCTTTCTGAGAGGACAAACTGCCGTTTCTTGGCCCTCTCGAAAGCAGACTTTCTCATTGCCGGTGCAGTGAAGTTATTCCAGGCAAACAGGGAAGGAACAGCTCCACTTCTAAGGCGGCTGGTGGTGGATCCGCTAACAAAATCCTCCGGTTTGAAGTGGCGGCTACATACGAAAGTGCTCCCCGTCTTTATGCAAAAGTCCGGACCTTCATCTCTTCGGATCGCCTGGATCCACTGCCTCCGTTTGTCCGGGTCCGCCTGGAACGCACGATATGACAGATAAGGCTGTTTTCTTGCCCCACATGAACAACCAGGGACTGAACAAAAACAACTGCGCCGAGATTGAGCCATTTTCCTAGTTTTTTAATGCTAACGCTATAGCCATCGGAAGTTGTCCAACCCCACATCCGCTTTCAAACTCGGAAGCGTGAAAAAGGTCTATTGGTCTCTAAATTCTTCTTAGGTGTCCTTAAAAATTAATTTTACGAATAAAATGGCAAACATAAAACATCAAGCTGCACAGCTGGTATCACTGTTGCCTTGCAGCAAGAAAGTCTTGGGTTTAAATCCAGGTCTGTGTTCTGTATGCATGGGGATTGCATGTTCTCCATGTGCAATGAGTAGGTTCTGGGTGCTCCAGCTTCCTGCCACAGTACAAAAAGATTTTGTGCACATTAGATAATAGATGGCTAATGGAAACATTTTTTAACTTGTTTATATTAATCATTATTGTTAGTAGTAGTAATAATAATAACAATATTTGTATGAATATTAATATATTGATATGTTAATCAATGTACAGTTAATTATATAATATATAATCAATATGATACTTGTAATATAGTAATTATTATATTGCTAAGTACTAAAATTATTCTAATAAATCATAATTATTATTAATAACAATAATAAATAATTATCAGTATTATAAATAATAGTAATTAGTATTAGTTACATTGATTATTATTATTACTATTAATAATGATAGTAGTGAAAATATAAAAACAAAGTTATTATAATTCAATATTGTTGGGGCCTGCCTATAGCAATGGATAGGGAGATCAGGTGTTGTCCTATTGTCTCTATTTTAGGTGTTGAACAGTAGGGGTCAGTGGGGACATTGCCTGCCATGCAACACCTGCTATGGAATGGCTGCCATGCCATGCATTGCTATGGGTATTCCCCCCAAAATATAACAGAGATCTCTGCTTATGAGATCAAATTACATTTTTGACACAGTTAAAGTTTTCACAAGTTTCTTATTATTAAAGTTAAGATTTTCAACAAGGCAGTATACGTTTTTAAGTCAGTTTCTTTAAAATTATTAAAAGAGGGCATTTTCTTACTCAATTTCACCTTGTAGAATTGACTTTATTCCACAAGATGAGTGATGCAAATAATTCAATACGTCTAAATATAAATAAGTGACAAACCCATGCAAATATATTAATCTATAAATAACATATAAATGACTGCAGAGAAAATTAGATTCAAGTCAGACTTGGGTATTGTAAAGCCTAGTGGAAATTATTCATAATAATTTGCGTTTCTAGATTAGCCAGCATAATGAATACTAAATATTTAGGTCTAAGCCAAATATTTAAGTTGGAAAATAAATATGGAGTTTGAAAATTAAATGTTTAGCTTGGAAAATAAAGTTTAGTTTGGAACTAAATATATAGTTAGAAAAATACATATTCTAGTTGGAAAGTAAACATTTGTTTGAAGGCTAAGTATTTAGCTTCCTAACTAAATATTTAATTTGAAATGTAAACATTTATTTTGTTTTCTAAAAGATGTGGATTAAATATCTAGTTTGGAATGCTGACTTTTACAAATGTCTGACTCAAGTGAGAAATCATAAATGGCTTTTATTGCAGCAAATTTTTATTTTGCCAGTAATTTTGACATTTATGTAGTGAAGTTTTTGACTTCACTACATAAAGCTACGTACATTGAGCTACATACATTTCTTCTTTTTGCGCTCTGTCTTGTGCTGTTGTATAACAGTTACTTGTTTTCCCCCAATAGAGCAGTGAGCATAGGTGTTGTGACAGTTACATCAGTTAGTACAGCAGTTAGTACAGCAGTTACAGCAGTTATAACAGATAGAGCAGCACTTTGTATTTCACCTTGCAACAAGAAACATTGTCTCATGCTGGCAGCCCATGGGAATACTGAAAAGGTTTGTTGATTGTGAATTGTATTTCCTTTTAATGTGTATTTTGTCTGTTGGTATGGTTATTTGGCATAAACGTAAAGTAGCATATGAATTTAAGCATTGTAAAATGATTAGTGCACTCATATTTGATATGTGCTTCAGCTTTTCCAGTGGTGATATGTGGATTTTAATGCTATGATGAATGTGCTTCAGAAAGGATTAGATCTCATTAAGTCGTCAGCAAAACTATATTAAAATAACATGATGAAAATATGACTTTGAAAAAAAAAAAAAACACCCATTTTTTTTTATGTGACAGGTACTATGAACCAAAATATTACTGTCATTTATTTATTTATTCATTTATTACCCTGTAACTTTACAAGTGGTACACCATAATTTTGAGCTCCTTTCAGAATGAACTGTTTTGGACACTCTTGTCACTTTAAATTGAAACTGACCCCCAAATCAACTTTGTTTTTGCTAATAAAACTGTGTGAATATGTTATTCAGGGTTTCTGTGCGAAGTTTGACATTTTGTGCCGTTTGTTGAGTTCAGCGTTATTTTTTGCCCGAAACCGTTTGACCTCGTTCGGTCAAACGGTTATTTGGCAGTTGAATATCCTCCTGTGTTTACAAACAAATAAGTTGTCACGTGACCCCACACTTCCGGAAACTTTGTAACTGTTTTTGGAGGGCAGCCGCTACGGAGTTGCTATGACAACAAGAAACAATCCGCGAGCTTAGAACTAGCTCTCCTCTCTTTCTATCTAATTTGAAAACAAGACAAGTCCACTACAAATATTACTCGTCCACCACTTTTGAGGACTCTACAATCTAGTTCCACTTACTGTCGACCTAGCTAAATTAGCTTATTTAATGTAGCTGTTATCTGCAAGCTGAGACGGACATAGCCTATAAGAATGCCCATTTATTCACCCGAAATGGTGACATGAAAATCATTTCAGGTGACTACCTTTTGAAGCTCATCCAGAGAATGCAGAGGTGTGCAAAGCAGTAATCACAGCAAAACGTTGTTACGTTGAAGAAACTGCAATTTAAGGCGTATTTTCAGCTGTTTTACACTTTTTTTGTTTAGTACATATTTCCGCATGTGTTAATTCACAGTTTGCTGCCTTCAGTGTGAATCTACAATGTCAATAGTCATGAAGATAAAAGAAACTCACTGAATGAAACAGTGTGTCCAAACTTTTGGTATATATAGATATAGATATATATCTATATATATGTTTTTTTATTATTATTATTTATTTCTCAGTTGCTTGCCTTTATGATTAATGCATGTGTCTGTGTGCAGTGTTCCACTCTCTTACATTCTCCCTTCTCTTCCCCAAGAGCTTGTGAAGATCCAGTAAACTGAACTGTCACGCACTCTGAGTTGACCAATATTTGAATAATCTAAACAATGCAGAAATAGCAACACACTTGCAGCTTGATCAGTCTTTTGTCGGCTGTGCACCTATCACAAGCATTGCTCATTTCACTCAACGCATTCAGCGCCTCACTACCTTGCACAGGGCTTGGAGATTATGAAAGTGATCTACTTGATTTGAAACCATGATTATGTTTGCTTTACTCAAAAATAAGACTAGCCTAGAGAGACATGTGCATGTCTCTCTGCTCCAGAATCAGTGATTCAAAGCATAAGGTACTCTATGTATCTTATATTTAAGTGAATAGCGCATGTTGTGAGTTAAGTGATATTTTGTTGACAAAGTACATTTCACCTGACAAACATATTAAAATAGCACACAAAATAAGATCCCATAAAATCATGAAAGAAGTGAATATAGTTGAATAGCGAGGAGGATAAAATCAAGTAAAACCACTGTTTATTAAAAGTGTTAGTTCTTGAATGAATAATAATGGGTATCTGTTCCTTTGCTTTGCCCTTAGATATCCCATGGCAGACTTTCAGCGTTTGCTTCTGCTGCTTCTCATTGTGACTGCATCATATGCCAATGAACCTGTAATCACCACCAAATATGGACAAATTCGAGGGAATTATTTTAATGTGATAAATGGTCAAATTCAAGCATTTCGTGGAATTCCGTATGCAAAGCCGCCGATACTCGCTCGAAGATTCCGACCTCCAGTGCCTATGGATAAATGGGATGGTGTAAGAAATACCCAAACTTTTTCAAAGTCCTGCTTCCAGTTGCGAGATGACATGTTTAAAGGTATGATTCAATACTACACAAATCAGAATATTTCAAAATAAGTTTAATTCACCTAGATATTGTTTATCACTAAAAATCTTGTCTTAATATGATGGAAGTTCTGTCCTTTGCATTGATTTGCTGAGTGTGCATCTGCTGTGTTTACAAACAAATAATCCCTCTATAGGAACTGCTTGGTCTTTTTGTAAACACTGGACTAAGCAGTCTCTCCTGTAGGATGCATTAAAAATATTACCCCTACATGTGTGCTCATCAGGGGGATACAGTGTAGTAACCTAATCTGTAGTGGTTTCATATATATATTTGTCTAAACAGAGTGACTCTCCAAACAGATTGTTTTGAATAAACTTTTTTTTAATTATTATTATTATTTCAACAAATCAAACATATCCTATGGACTCTTTGGTTACCATTCATATTGTCCTTCCCTCCAGTTTGACATCAGTTTCCACCTGCGGCCACAGCCAGAGAGGTTTACTAAAGTCCTGTGTACCTTAAACTTCTAAATAAATTATGTGCAGCTGTAATCACTGACTACTAGCTTAAAGATGCCTGTAATACTAATTAGAAGACTCACTTTTATTGAACATATTCCTGTCTGGTTGAACTTTTTTTATTCTTTTCTAAAAGTGCCATCATTTTTGTACAGGACTGTACATTAGTTTATTATTTAAAATGATTTAGTTGAGCTTCATTTTAAAAGCAATGTCTGATCTTTGTTGGGTAATTTTCAATGGATGTTTATTTGTTATTACCTTTTTAATTGTAATTGTAATTTTCAAGTTATTTAGGAGTATTCTGTCATGGTCAGGGGGATGCCAACAAATTTGTCACTTGTGCACGACCAAAAGGTAGAAATATTTGTAATTTCAACTGGTTTGTACTTTTTATTCTTTCAATCATTATTTATGGGGACGTTTTTGTCATGACAGCTTTGAGCAGGAATATTCTCACGTTCATGAGGAGAGTTACTAAACTTTTGCCTTAAGTGCTGACTGAAATTAGTATCCGAATGAACTTTATAAAGCTATCATTATAATTTTCAGCCTTCCCCTTAGGGATGAACAGCCCAAAATGAAACTAAAAACTTTGGTACTTAAATAAGTGAGAAAGTACCCAATGGCCAATGAAAAACTTTAAAAGACATTCAGATAATCTACAGGAATTATGTGAAACTGAAAACTTGTAAAAAGCTCTATTCCACCTCATGCCTTGTTCCTGACTTGTAAACAATCAAGACATTATGGAATGGCTCATTACTTTGCACAATATTTGTCTTAAATAGTCTTTAATCTTAATATTATAATATTTAAGAGCAAGTTTAGTATATCTAATCTGTAAAATTCTTGTGATAAAGACTTAAGGATTCAGTGGGCTCAAAGGTTTTATAATGTTGTCGCTGCTATGGCTGTAATCAAACTTTATTAATAACATAGTGGATGTTTTTTCCTTCTGCAAATGTGCCTGTAGTACTTATCTTAGTTGCATGTGATTTTTTGCAGGGTTTGAAGGTGCGGAGATGTGGAATCCAAACACCCCTGTGAGTGAGGACTGCCTGTACTTGAATGTTTGGGCCCCTCTGTTCAAGACATCCACACCCAGACCGGAAGATCTTGTTCCTGTATTAGTTTGGATATATGGAGGTGCCTTTGTGTCAGGAACATCCTCGCTGGATCTTTATCAAGGCCATTTCTTGAGTAAAGCTTACGATGTTGTTGTGGTATCTATGAATTACAGGTAAGAAATTATTTCAATTGAAATCACGAATGTACCCAGTCCTAGTTCTTGCAACACACCTTTCTGTATTTTTAACTGTTTCTGCTCAGAAACATTTAATCAAGTTTTCATTGGTTTCAAAGAAAAGGATTATGACAACAGAATCAAGTTTTCCACAACATGGAAGCTAAAACTGAGAACAAAAGATTTAGAGTTACAAAGTCTGAATAGGCATCTCAAACATCTGTTTGACTAAACTGGTTATCTCAAATAGTATGAAAGCCAGTTCAATATTCATCTTGGAAACATTAATATAAACATGTTCATATTCACAACCTACAGTCAATTGAAGGAAAATCACTGAAAATCCACAAAATAAACTAGTTGATGTTTGTCTGTCTGATTATACTATCCTGCCAAAGTTGGCTTACTAAAAAGAGAGTTTCTGGAATATCATAATAGTATTATATTCATCAAATCACATTTTACAATTTGAATTGTGACAACATTTACATATTTTTCTTATTACTACTATATTTTCTATAATGCTTCCTTTATATCACTTTATTTGCAAAAATGATAATGGTCAATTTGAAGGTGGAAGTAACAGTAAAATATTTTGAATCTATACTCAACAGCACTGATATATGGTGAATCCTTTCAATATAGTTGTTTATTTTTCCTCTTGTGGTCATGATTTTTAGACTGGGACCATTTGGCTTTCTGGCTATTCCTAACCACCCTCACATCCGGGGAAATCAAGGTCTACTGGATCAGCGTTTGGCACTTAAATGGGTGGTCGATAACATTGCTGCATTTGGAGGTGATCCTACCAAGGTAAAATAATCTTCTAATTTTTCCTAAAATCAGAGTAATATTATATGGACCCTGAATAAGTTAATGTACATACACTGGTATTTACCTCTGTTCCCAGATAACAATATTTGGAGAGAGTGCTGGGGCAGCATCTGTGGGGTTCCACCTGGTCTCTCCAGGCAGTCAGGGCCTCTTTCAAAGGGCTGTGATGCAGAGCGGCTCCCCTAATGCTGCATGGGCCATAGCAAATAAAACTGAGATATATGACAGGTATGTGTGCTTAGTATTGAGCTAGTTGATACTGGATATTCTGTCTAGATCATTTAGTTGTTTTTTTCTGAAGTATGATCATAATAATGGGCTGCAGAGTGTCACAGTTGGTAGCACTATTGCCTTGCAGCAAGTAAAAACATCCATTATGTTATTTTGTGCAACAAACAGGACGAGCGGGGAGAGAGAAAATGGGATGAAGAACAGAAAACCATAACTTTTTTATATCAGGGAAAAATTGCAAGGCCACGCTCTAAACGGGCTGACTAACATTAATATTATCAAGTAAATTAATTGCTTCTTTTAGTTATCTTGTACGTTCAAGAAACACCCAAGGACAGCATTCTTTCTCCCCCCATTACTGTTAGATTGTAGTCTTAAATAAAAGCCTAAGCCTATCTACTTGCATTAAAAAATTACTCAAATCAGTGTCATTTAACTTGAAGAGGATCAAACCCAATTTTTATGATTTTAATCTTACATTGTTTAAAGCTAAATTATGAAATTAAACTTCTTTATTTCCAAAAATAGCGTGATCCAGTTGAAAAAAAAAATAATGGGAGACCTCAATTGGATGTAATTATAATATTTTCTTTTTTTGTCGCATGTTATGTAGGTGTAAATGTGCATTTCTGTGCCCATGTATTGAATTAATTCAAATATTGAATTAGAACTCGAAATATTGCCCCTCGATACGGAACAGCCATGAGAATGGAAATCTGCGGAACATGCAAGAAAAAGCAGAAAAAGCTACAGTAATGCATGGTAGAAATGTTCTGTTAAATATTAAAGTTCAGCAAAAGATACAGCATAATTCATCAGAAGCAGACCTATGCAACCTGAAATAATTGAACAAGTTCAATACTAAAATTTAGAAAAAAATTTAGTTATTCAGCAGAAGAAGCAGAACATTTTGATGTATGAATTGCTAAAATTGACTAAAGTTTGCAGAAAACTTTTGTAGACAGTAAAACCAGTAAAAGGAGAAGGCATCTGACAAAAGGAAGACAAGAAGAATGTTGAAAGAAAATTAAAATCAAATGTGCCACATAAAAACTGCACGTGGTTCACACAACCTTTCACATGTGAATGATATATGAATGATGTGAGTCACATGTGGAAGCACATGTTTACATGTGATTTTGGAATGTTATATGGTAAAATCACATGTGATTTCCATGTGATGCCCACATTTTCACATGTGGAAATATGTGATATAAATGTGATTCTCATGTTTTCACATGTGAAACATGGGAATCACATGGGTTTTTACCACCAAGTATTCCAAAATCACATGTGAACATGTGAGAATTTGTGCGAACCACATGCATGATTTTCAGATGGGACTTTTACATGTAAAAGATTTCTATGACAGATTCAGTATAATCACCCAGTCTTTACAAGGAAAAAAATATAATATGTGGTGCATATGTGAGAAATATGTGATCACATGTGACACATGTGATACCACGTTGAATAAACCGTGAATCACATGAACAAAATACATTTACTACTTGTGGAAAATTGGAACCACATGTGGAACATGGGAACCACATGTGACCCCATTAGAATTTCATAGGATTTTTTTGTAAGGAGACACAGTTATAAACAGAGCACAAGAAAGAAACACATTGAAGAAACAGGAGAAAGTGTAACATGTCTGTGTTCCAGAAGACAGCAAACTGTAAGACATGTAGCAATAGTTCCTTAAAGTAGACATGCATGTATGTGATGCATAAATTATTTTTCTGTACAGATAAATATGTATCACCAGCATCATTTTATTGATCAGCAAGTCTGAAAAGATAAAAAAACTTCAGTTACTAGAGTGTACACTGACAACAGTGAGACAATTCCACCATAAGACTTCATTATAAACCTGAAAACGTTCAAAAAATAAGACTTACATGGGTTGAAAAATGTAAGAGATATCAAAAAGCTGAGACATTTGAAGATAGTTTGAAGTCTTGTGACCTGTTTAAAGTTGAATGAAGTTTCAATGTTGAAATAGGCAGAAGTAGCAAGCTGTGAAAAAGCAGAAGCTTTTAGCAAACTTTTGTGGAATTTTGAAGAATTTCTATGTATTTCATTGGGGCTAAAATTTGCAAAATAGTGCAAATATTTCAAAATGTGCAATAGTAAAATTGAGCAAAAGACATAGCATAACTCTCCAGAAGAAGCAGAATGTTTTGAAATATGAATTACCACAAATAGTTAGTAGAAGTAGTAAAATTTAGTAAAAGGTATGGAGCATCTAATAACATAATAAAGAGAAACTGGAACTTGCGAATGCAGTGATGCATTCTCACTGATTAATTGCCACCTCGTTCAGATTGGCAATTTGCTCACAGTGCAAGCCATTTCCATTCATTGTTAAAGTGTCAAACTGCTGCATTATATGTGCAATCTACAAATATTAATATTTGTCCATCATAATAAAGAACAACATGATCTTATTAATAAGTGAGAATGCAAATACATTCTAATCTAAGCACAAGAAATCAAAAATAAACATGATCTAACTAAATTAACCAAAGACAGACTGATTTAATGTTCAGTCAAAATAAGCAATAACAAACATAAAACACATTTAACAAATGATCAAAACTATAAATCCAGGGAAAAAAAACACTAAGACAACCAAAATCCCAAAACCCAGAACTTCTATTTTTCATGGTAGCCTTGGTCCCATAATTTTTTACCCTTTTCAACAAATGTTCAGTATTATTTACTTTACATGTCATACCTCTTTGGTGCTAACTAATTACTTTACTGAACTTCTTTCTCAACAAACAGATCCTTTAAACTTTTAAAATTGATAGGCTGCCCTGTGGATTATCCTCCTCTTCTGGTGACTTGTTTAATCAATGCTGATGCTGAAAAGATGTCAATCAAGCAATATGAAAATCTTGTACCGCCTTCAGTTTTGTCTGTGCCATTTGTCCCACATATTGATGGAGACGTCATACCATCTGACATAGAAGTAAGTCTCTACGCGTTTGAATAACTGATTTCTTCAAGAAGTGAAGAACTTCAAATGTTTTAGATATTACTTACAATATTTTAGTTGTATTGAATGTTACGTTAAATTACCATTTGAAAAAAAAAAAAAAAACTTCTTGCCAAACAACAACAGCAAACCTTGTTTTAGTGACCAAGGATCTCGAATTCTCTCCTCTCTTATGGAATTCCAAACATTCAAAGGGAAATGAAAATCTATTAACTGCAGCATGTTGTTATTTTTATTTTTTTTTTTCATTTTATTTTAAATATTTAAATTTTGTGGTAAATTCCTGTAGGTTTTCCACCGTCTGGCACGGTAAATTTGTGGTCCCAGAAATATCTTAATTTGGATATGGACAGAAAACATTTTGCTCATGTTAAACCAGTAGTTGTGTGATTACTCCCTGTTAATGTTCTACTCACTAGGATAGAGACATTCACTGCCAATAAAAAATGCAATTTAACAATTTCTAAACTGATCTTAGAAACCTATGTGAAACAAGAAAATTTGACTTGTCTATGAAAACATAAGATTAAGACTATTTTTAATTGAGGATGGTGTCCAACAAACGTTTTTTAATCATGTCTTTTTTCTTCTGCAGACGTTGCTAAAAAGCACTACTCTTCCCAAAAAAGAGCTGTTGATCGGCTTGAATAAAGATGAAGGAACTTACTTTCTTTTTTATGTAATGCCTGGTTTCACTCACCAGGGGGAAAATTTTGTCAACAGGAAGGACTTTATGAAAGGTTTATCACTAGTACTCACAAATTCAAGTGAGATTGTTAAAAATACCACTCTTTCTCACTACACTGATTGGCAAGATGAAAACAATATGAAGACCAACCGTGATGAAATAGGTAGGATGGTTGGAGATGCGCTGTTTAATTGTCCTGTGATGGACTTCGCTACTCGGTAAGTTCCAGGTCTCAGGTTAAAAATAAATACTTTTATATAGAAAAACATCCTCTGTTCTAACTGTGGTGTACATATGTTTGATCCCTGAAAGCAATACCAAGAAAACTTTAGTAGTAGAAGTATTTATAGTAGGATATTTATAGAACTATTGCTGAGTTTCTCCTTGGGATTAATAAAGTATTTTTGAATTAAAATTGAAATGAGAACCAAACACAGGTTAACTTTCTAAAATAAAAAAAATACATAATTTTCCCTACACTTCAAAATGATGTACTTATTGAGTAAGTCCAGCACATAAAATCTCAGTCACATACAGTCATATTCAACAAATCTAAATGTGAATTTAGATGAGGCTTGTTTTTCAGATTAGAAATGCCTTTTGTAAATAACTTTTAAGCAGTTATTGATTTTCTTTAGGCCACATTTTTGGATTAAATGTTTTGTTTAATTGGTCTGATGTAACATACTAATCCCATGTTATGTAATTTCATGATCGGTCAGCAAAAATCACAATTACCAGAAATAAGTAATTAAAATATCAGTAGTTATTCTAATGTTTCAGTTGATTATTTTTTTAATACATTTCAGTAACACTGCTACTTTTTTAATATCCCTGTGCATATAATGTTGTGTGGCAATATTTCTAAGGGAAAACAGGTTAATGAACTTATTTTGCATCTGTTACGTCCTATTGCTATTACCACCCGCAATGCAAATAAGCTGCAAATATGATGTATTTATTGACTTCTCATTATTTTCCTAGGTATGCAGAACGTGGCGGAAAGACCTTTTTTTATTTTTTTGACCAAATGTCATCCGGAAATCCCTGGCCAAAATGGGCAGGTGTTATGCATGGCTACGAGATAGACTTTATCTTTGGAAATACTATGAATGCGTCCCGTAACTTCACAACGGCTGAAGTCGACGTGTCCAAGAAAGTTATGAAGCACTTTGCCGACTTTGCCCGGACTGGGTAGGCTAAACAGATTGTCAGTCAGTCATGCAAGGATTGTGAGAAACCTAAGAACTCTTTTCTTTTTCATTTTCAGAAATCCAGGTTTTAATGGAGGTTCGTGGCCAACGTTTTCTGCTAACAATCCAGTGTATGTCATTTTGAATGACAATAGCAGAGGAGTAAAGAAGAATTTAAAAGCTAAAGAGTGTTATATGTGGAATACTTTCCTGCCTAAATTACAGAACATGTCAGGTGAGACACACAATAACAAGACACTCTACACAGTCTGACATAAATGTACATGTTAAGTTTCATATAAAGCATGTAGAAGGAAGGAAAGTTTTTGTTAATATCTCGAAAAGAGATGTTTTACCTGTTGAGATTAGCCGTTCTGGTTTGCTCCAATTTTTTTAAACAAACATTTAGCTGAAAAGGAAATTAAAGTTTGTAACTGAAACCATTCCTTGTGAAAGATTACTTGATCCCACACACAGTCTCTTTGCTCTTTGTCTTTCACAGATTCCAGGCCAAAGTGCGGTACAAGTGGGATTGTTCAACACAATTGGGTGTTCCTTCTTATTTTGTTAGTTATCAGTTTAACACATTGAATGATCTCCTGCTCTCTATTTAGTTCAAGTGTTAAATGTCTAATGTGTAACAGGTGGGTGCTTGCTTTTCTTAAATATCTCAAATATTCTCAGAGCACCACCTGAAGGCTGTAGGTTGATTCTCGGGGCACTATAGCCTGTTTTACTTAAGGGTTCACTGCAAAGCATAGTTTGAAAAAGGCCCTTCAGTATGTGTGTGCAAAAAAATCTATATTTTTACACTGTTTGAATAACTTGCTTCCTATACCGATTAGAAATGGTTTATAAAGTGGTTTATTATTAAAATAGGTTTATGCTAAGTGCCTTTGACTGTTTTTTTTTGTCATTTGTTATGGACACACAAGAAGCCACAAGTTCTTCCTTGGCTTTTCTTAACACCTTGTTATTAAACACAAATAGGTAACTAACAATAGAAGAAGGTCCAGTAGCCTCTCTCTCTCTCTTGTTTATAAGCTACAATTGTTAGAGCTATTTCTAAGCTTGTGGTTTGTTTATTATTGCTCTTGCATCTCCATAGCAACTGCCTACCAAGATGGCTATCAGTTACAAGGTTCACTGAAGTGTGATGTCACATAAGAACTTTAACCCATCAAAAGCTTGCATAACTACTGCATCATCCTCTGGGCTTTCAGATATTGCATACATGCATAGTAAAAACTTCCTGTCAGTTTCTGAGTTTTCAGAAATTTAAACTCAGGGGTTCAAGCTTATTAGCTCTAACCCTCTACTATTCAATCTTGCAACAAACAGACACAACTCTGGTCATCTGAACTAACCTCAAACATGAAAACTGACTCAGTGTCCAACAAATGTGAGAAAAATGTTTGTGTCCACAATGTTAGATTCTTAACCAATATCTGTCTTAAAGAATATGCTGCCCTTCTACTTATATATTGTCTACTAATCAGAATTAGCAGACAATACTAACAGATTGCCAGTCCAGTACACTCTGGACTGGCAACCTGTTCAGGGTTTACCCCTCCTCTCGCCCAAAACGATCACTGGAGATAGACACCGGCACCTCTCCAGACCCCATTAGGGACAAGAGTGTGCAGAAAATGGATGGATGGAGTAGATTAAAACGCAGGTATTAAAATCCTGTAAAAAAAAAAAAAAAAAAAAAACATTAAAAAGGTAAAACATCCAAGAGGATAAATACATTTTTATCTGTTTTGTAGATCAACAATGACATTCTAGAAGGCTGACAGTGCAGACTGCATATTCTCAGACAGTGGAGGGATATCAGTTCCATTACTAGTTGCAGAAGCCGGTCACAAGTACCTTGCCTTTGACTGCACTTAAATTTGTGTTACAGTGAATGAAATTATCCAAGTTGATTTATATTTGCTTTCTCAGTTGATTTGTGTTGACATGATTTTGGACGACTTAAATATTACACTTTCTTGGTGTTGAGAATATGAAAGAAAGATTCACTCTGAAAGTCCTATGTCATAGAACAATAAATTATTGCCTGTTATAGAGGTATGGCAATTAAAGCTGGAGAGAAAGTATTTTCTAGAGGTAGTTCTTATTTTTGTCTCCATTGCAATGAAAACATTCTCTGTTTGAGGCACCCTTGACCCTCTTTACTTCAAAGGATTTTTTTTCCATTATGTGATACAAATTTTAAATAAGCAGTAAGGATTTAGAAACCACTGTTTGTTTTTTTCAATCCCAGATTTAAATAAAATGAAGCAGCAACTAAAGCATGGTTTAAACATAATGCAAGCTAACTTTGCATTAATATGCTTCATTCATCTCTCATTCAAGCTAAAATCAAAATCCAATGTTCTTTTCAGAAATTTTTCCTCCTGATAGAATATTTTTGACAATATTGTCTTTTATATTGCTTTGTAAGTGTGTCTTGGCTTTAATTGTTTGTTAATCTTGTACAAATAAAGGTGTTTCTTATTCAACCTCTTGGTTGAGAGGTTTCAATAAGCTGCTTCAGTTCTTATTGTAATTGAGCCAGGCCATCATATAAATTAGGTGTTTTTTCTCTGTGAGGTTTAGTGTAGCTTATGAGAAGCACTTGTCACCCTTCTAAAATAAATTGTATATTTTATTTAGGAATGTGATACAAGTGTTTCACACACACGCAAGACTAAAATTGCACATATACACTACTAAAATATCCCACGAATACACACAAAGCATACAGACATAATATTCTGAATGATAGGTTGAAAATATATGTGTGTGTGTGAACTAACACTGGGCTGAATGGATGAATGGATGAATGGGGATGAGACTTGAATTTTCCTGTATGAGAGATTGGTATTTGTGTGAGACTCAGTTTTTGAATGTGTGAAAGTTGTCACGGAAGAGGCAGGGCATAATTTGGAGTGTATATGCACAATTTTAGTATTTTGTGTATGCAAATGAGAGAAAAATTGTATGCATGTGTGATATAATAGTGTATATGTGCAATTTTAGCATTTTGTGTGTGGGTGTTTAAATGTGTATGAGAATTTCGTAGCGTGTGAGAGAAAAAACTTTTTTTTTTCTAACTGGCCCCTCATAAAATACGGTTTTTGCAGAAAGCAACTGGACCTTAGTTCAAATTTTGTAACTCATAGAAAATCTGAAAACTGGTGGAGAAAAGTGGATCTGATTGGGGACTGACGTGTTGGAGCTGGATCACCCAAGATGAAAGCTGCTTCACAGAAAGGAAACAAAAAAAAAAAATCTACAGAATCACTCCAGGGACCTGTTCTATCAGGAGGGATCAGGGGCTTTTCAAGCTAAATTGTACTGATGCAGACAAGCATTCTGCATATGCCTGTGTAGATTAAGAACAATTGTCAATTGTTTAGGATTTGAATTGTTCGACTAAATAAGCGCGTTATTGATTGATAGTTTGAGGTTTTTAGTATCACAGTTCTGGATCATCATCTAACCTGAATCTGTAATCATGTATGTTCAGAAGCTCCAGAACAGGCTAGCTTTCAATGAGAGATCAAGACAGATAAATAATATAGCTACATTACTATCCATATCTCAGAAAAAGGAATACATGCAACAAAAAAAACAACAACTGTGAATTTATGTCGTCCTCCTTACTTATGATTTTTCCTCTTCAGCGAGTTACACCATTACGTTTTTGTTAATAAAACATAGTTCTCATAGATATCCCACCAATTTGACATGTACTTAAAGCTCAGACTCATTATTCATGTTTTTCCTGCTATAAGCAAAAAGTTTGAAATTAACAATACCTTAATAACAAAAGCCTTCCGAATTAGAGAACTTTTTATCATCGATCATGAGTGCAGAGTACTACTCCCAGATTGCTACATATTGTGCCTGCGTAATTATGTTCATTCTCAGATACTTGTATAATTTCATAGAACAACCAACTCAAGACTTAACCTGATTATTATCTTTGTTGGCTTAGCTTTGTAAAAACCAGCCCCTGGTTTTATGCTATTTGCTTCATAGAGAGGATCTGGACTCTCAGGTATTGAGAATTGATTGCTTCTTTGAGGCGTAGACTCCACTGAAGTTTTAAACTTTATCCAATCACTAATGTTTGTGATGTATGTATTGTACCAGTTCAATGCTAAGACACAAGAAATTGCCTGTGCTGTAAACAACTATTATCCATTGCAAAGAGAGAAGCCATGAGCTGTTAATGTTGATTCCAAGAAGGGCCAATAGCTCAAAATGGCAGCCTCTCATCTCTTAGACTGCCCTGGGGCAGTTGTGGCTACAGTACAGAAGATTGCTAAAATCAGTGTGTGTTTGTGCATTGATGGGACTGATTAATTTAATATAAAGCATATTTGAATACTCTCTCACAGCTGCTTCACAAAAAGAAAACAAAAGAATCTGCAGAATCACTCAGAGCTTTTTAACTGAGTATTAAAAAGCATTATGTCATTAGGTGTTACATATTACACTTTCTTGGTGTAGAGAATATGAAAGAAAGATTCACTCTGAAATACCAAGAAAGTCCTATGTCATAGAAGAATGAATTATTGTTCTATGACATAGAACAATAATGTATTGGATGCATAGCAAACATGGACTGAACGGCTTAATTTCTTTTTTTCTGCTGTCAAGACGAAAATTCTTGAACAGTGCAGAAAAATATGTAATTATTCACAATGTCTCCCTGTGTTTGCTGATTGGTCCAGCGGAAATTCTACGGATGAAATTCAAGTCAATGGGAGAAAGCCCTGTGCTGTGCTGTGAAGTGGTAAATAAATTGCAGAGGAGGGCAATAGCAACTGCTGGCTAAATTTATTTATTTTGTCTCTTGGATATGAGTGACCTGGATTAATCTAGAGTTGAAGTTGTCAAATACGTCATACTAAATTATCCAATTATTTTAATGCTTAATGTTTGTTAATAAAACAAAAACAAATGCAGCTTGTAAATAGCTTCAAGTAAATTTAACAGCATAAGTTACTGGCTTAAGTAACCAAAAGTTACTTACTTACAAGTAAGTTACTTACTTATTTACAAGTAAGTAACTTATGGATTTCTTACATTACTTAAACATGTGTAAAAGTCAGCATTCCAAAGTAGTTAGTAGCAGCCTACGCCATATTTGCACCACATCTGTTAATCCCCTCTGTGATTACGCCACCGTGCTTTCTGATTGGCTCATATGTCAAAAAGCTGCGCAATCCAAAATGTTATCTAAAAGCGGAAAATCGGGACCAAAAATCCTGCCGTGTGGACGAGGCTTAAACAAGGTGCTGGAGTTCTGCTTGGGTTGTTTCGTGAGTAAAATGACGTCACTTGCAAATCAGCACTATAAAGTAAACTGAAAAGATTAGATTTTTTTTAATCATTTCCTTTTTTTTTATCGTGACTGGGTGTCGGTTGCAGCTGTTAAAGTCATATTATGGGTGGGACAGTCGGGAAGGCACAAGGCTAAGGGTGCAAACGCCTTCCTCAACTCATTATAGCTTCACTACGACTCAGTCCACACAAATACATTAACTAACTGACAAGGTAAGACATGACTAAAACATTGTTTATGTATGTATACGTAGATTATATATATATATAAATACATATATGTGTGTGTGGAGATATTTCATCCAGTAACCTGAACTGTCACTCACTCGGAGTTCACGGATATTTAAACATTATTTCTGCAAGTGTGTTGCAGAAATAGCTACACACTTGCAGCTTGATCAGTGTTTTTGTCGGCTGTGCGCCTGTCACAAGCAGCGCTCATGCCACTCACCGCATTCAGCGCCTGACCACCTTGCAGAGGGCACGGAGACTGAAAGTGATCTGCTTGATTTGAAACTACGCGATTGCCTGAGCTTGACTCAAACATAAGAGGCGTAAACAGAAGTGCGTTCCAGAATCTGCGTGTGGTGGGAAATTATTGTAAGTTAACGTCCGCCGATCGTGTTATATGAAATGCTTGTGAATCTGATTGGGCGACACTCGCAAGGTTGGAAGTTGATTTGCTGCAGCTGCAAGGGCAACCAGACTGTCTCGCCCAAGTTTGGTATAAACTTCGTGTGTTGTCTCTGCCTGGGAGAGCTTTTCACCCAGAACTCCTTCATTATTGATTGTCCTACAAGCTCTCTGCATTGTGCACAATATATGAATAAACCTGATTGGGTGTTTTCAGCTGACAGTGCTTGGTAAATTTTTTTTTCCCCCACAACAAGCGATTCAAAGCATAACATACTCTAAATCTATTAGTTTCTATTTAAAGTGAATAGGGTATGTTGTGAGTCAAATGACAAACACCTGACAAACACATGTCGCATGACAAACGGAGACTTAATGTGCCAGAAATAAAATCATAATAAATAAACTAGATATAGAGACGAGGATATTTAGAGAGCACACAAAATAAGATCCATTAAAATCAGACAATGAAAGAAGTGAATATAGTTGAATAGCAAGGAGGATAAAATCAAGTAAAACCACTGTTTATTAAAAGTGTTAGTTCTTGAATGAATAATAATGGGTATCTGTTCCATTGCTTTGTCCTTCTTAGATTTCCCATGGCAGACTTTCAGCGTTTGCTTCTGCTGCTTCTCATCGTGACTGCATCATATGCCAATGAACCTGTAATCACCACCAAATATGGAAAGGTTCGAGGGAATGTTTTTAGTGTGCTAGATGGTCATATTCAAGCATTTTATGGAATTCCGTATGCAAAACCGCCTACTGAATATCGAAGATTCCGACCTCCAGAGCCTATGGATAAATGGGACGGTGTGAGAGATACCCAAACTTTACCAAATTCCTGCTACCAGTTGCGAGATAAAATGTTTCCAGGTATGATTCAATACTACACAAATCAGGATATTTCAAAATAAGTTTAATTCACCTATTGTCTATCATTAAAAATCTTGTTGTGATATGATGGAAGTTCTGTCCTTTGCATTGACTCAATGTAGGAGAATAAAACAAAAGTAAAAAAATATAATCTGCGATTGTTGCAAGGTGGATGTCTGGGATATTTGTAAAATTGAGGTAGCAAAACTGAAGTGGCCAGAAATTCTCAATTGAGAAAAAATGCAATGACCTAAATGTTAATGCCTTTCTTTAAACCACAGTTATCAACTAACCCTTTGAAAGTCCTTTCAACCCGTAACTCAACGCTGTTGGCAATAACACTGGACATTGGAAGAGAAATGTAGTTAATGGAAAAACGTGTTAAGTACCAAAAATCCCATAATGGTCACTAAAACAACTTGGAATGGACAAAAGTAAAATTAACTAGAGGTTTACGAAAAATTAACCAATAAAAATCAGACATTGTTTTGGAATTGTGGCTCAACATTATCATTTGAAGCAACGACTAATGAAAAAAGACCTGGACAAAAATGATGATACCTTTAACTTAAATCTCCAATGTCCTGTTCTTCAGCAAAACTATTGAGAAATTCGTGTTTAAACACAGTGCCGTGCAAAGACCTTTGGAGGGGCGGGGGCTCAAAGTAAAAAAAAAAAAAAGGGACACATTGAACAAGGTCTTAAAACATTAGGGCTTATTTTACCAAATAAGCCCTAATAATATCTGACAGTTTTACCTCCACAACAATGCAGCTGCTGGCTGCTTTATAGATCAAAAAAGCTCAAAGGGTTCCCTCTATATACATTTTTTGCACCTCTGAGATCTAGAATTATAAGACTGGGATATCAAGGCAAAGAAAACTCAGTAGCTGCTGGTAGGGGCCGTTCAGACTTTCAGGGACCCCGAGAAATGGTTTAATTGTAACATGCAATTATAAACCACTGTGTGTTGCAATGGTTAAATTGTAACACAATTAACAAATGTAGCATCATTTATAGAAATGACAATGTTATTTAGGATTTAATTTGGAAGTTTACTTTGTAAAAGTTTAAAGAATCATCTTGATAATTTGACTGTTTTGTTACCATGGCTACATCATGGTGTAATCTTTGCGTTTGAATTGGGTTTGTTCACAAATTCATCACAGCAAATAACCAATAATCAGTGATTGATTTTAAACTCAGTCAATAAACCTGGTCTCTCTCTCTCACAGATGCCACCTTCTCTATATTTAAACAAGTTAGTGATGCTGAGGTTCTTAGTAGGAAGGGTTTCGGAGGTGGAGGGGGGGATTCTGTCTATGGCCCCGTATCACCTTGGTCTGGCCCTGCATGAACAGCCGCTACGATGCGCATCTCTGGAATCTTCCTGGAATCCCCCGGTGGCCCCTATGCCAGTCCCCCGATGCTTTGGGGACATTTTGATTCATTTAGTTGTGACATGTTTGGCTTGATGCTGCGGTTCTAATTATCGCTACAGTATTTCCTCTGATGTTTATTTTGTGAACTCTAAATGTCCTGAGCCGAATCTTCCTTTAACACTCGAGGTTCTGCAATAACGTCTATTTAGAGTCGCTCACCTCCAGCCCAGATCCCCTCAGCAGCGCCTTTTACCCGCATGGTAGAAACGTTAAGGAGAAGCAGAGCGAACAGTCAGCAGGTGGTACCAGGTGGTACCGGGGCTTTGAGCTTTGTCGTGACTCACAGTGACAATCGCAGTGTCTTATATCAGAATGTCTGATATAAAGAGAGACATTATTTATATCTGTCTGTGGGACTGACTCAGACTGCCTGTAGTGAACCAGGAATTTAGCAGAATGATGAAGTTAAAGTCAGAAGTTTCTCTGCAGCCGAAGCATTTCTGTGTTTAGGGGCGAGGCAGGTTTGTTTCCGCTATTGAGAGGACAATTCAGAAAATATAAACAGAATCAGTTTTTCTAACGTCAACATCAGACCAATGTTTTTATTCACAAAACAAGGTAAAAAAATATTCTTGCCCAAAATTTGATAGGTAGAGGGCACAGATCCGCCCCCCTCCTCCTCACCACGGACCTGGAGTCTGTACAACATGGAGGCAGAAACTGAGAATTATTACGAGACTGAGGGCAGCCAGACTAGTTTATTTTGCTGAAGCAGGCCTTCTGACAGACTGATTAAAAAAATACAAAATAAAAGGGCACTTGAGGAATCAAGGATAAAAGCAGGAGGGGCACAAGGGCCCTTCGCATCCCCACCCCCCTTTTAGCACGTGCCTGTTTAAGCAGTTAAATAGCTTCCTAATGACATGATATAACCTAATCTGTAGTGGTTTCGTATCTATATATTTGTCTAAACAGAGTGACTGTCCAAACAAAAAATGTTTTGCATAAACAATACTTTTATTTATTTTTTTATTATTATTATTTCAACAAATCGGACAAATCGGGTTCACTACTTCAGTTTAACCATAACAGTTTAACCATGCAATTTGTTGTATGCATGTAGTTCTTATCTAATGTTCAACAGTGTGATTTATATATATATATTTTTGCAGGGTTTGAAGGTGCAGAGATGTGGAATCCAAACACCCCTGTGAGTGAGGACTGCCTGTACTTGAATGTTTGGGCCCCTCTGTTCAAGACATCCACACCCAGACCGGAAGATCTTGTTCCTGTATTAGTTTGGATATATGGAGGTGCCTTTATGACAGGAACATCCTCACTGGATCTCTATCAAGGCTATTTCCTGTGTAAATCTCAGAACGTTGTTGTGGTATCTATGAATTACAGGTGAGAAATCATTTCAATTGAAACCATGATGTACCCAATCCTACTTCTTGTGACTCAGCTTTCTGTATGTTTGGCTGTTTCTGTTCAAAAACATTGAATCAAGATTTCATTGGTTTCAAAGAAAAGGATTATGTCAACAGAATCAAGTTTTCCACAACTCTTTTTTGATTCATTGGTTCAGACATGAGAGTCATCTAGAACATGGAAGCTGAAAGTGAGAACAAAAGATTTAGAGAAACGCTGTTACAAAGTCTGAATAGGCATCTCAAACATCTGTTTGACTAAACTGGTTGTCTCAAGTACTATGAAAGCCAGTTCAATATTCATCTTGGAAATATTAATATAAACATGTTCATATTCACAACCTACAATCAGAAGAAGGGAAATCACTAAGAATTCACAAGATGAACTACCGTATTTTTCAGACTCCGCTACTTTTTTTTCATGCTTTGAACCATGCGGTTTATAATCCGGTGTGGCTTTTCTGTGGATTTTTCTTCAACCACCAAGGGGCTCTTTAGCAGGAGATGAATCATTGGAAGTTAAAAATGGAAATAAAATAAGAATTTGCTAATTTTCATTTAGAACAAGAATATGCTAGCAGCAGGCACGACAGATAAATTTTTTCAAACTCATACCCCTCATCATGGAAACAACACGAATAAAAAAGATGCTGCTTTTAAGTTGAGGAGTATCGATCTCGCAGTTCAGCAGGGAAACAGAGCCGATACATGTCAGCTTGGCGTAAACAAATCAACAATTCGTCGTTAGAGACGCAATAACATGCATCGCATTATCTTAAAACAACTTAACAATGGTCAGGTTGAACACAAGTTGGAAGTGACAGCAAAATATGTAAAGTACAGCTTTGACATATGTTGAAGTTTCTTTGTGGTCATGATTGTTAGACTGGGACCATTTGGCTTTCTGGCTATTCCTAACCACCCTCACATCCGGGGAAATCAAGGTCTACTGGATCAGCGTTTGGCACTTCAATGGGTGGTCGATAACATTGCTGCATTTGGAGGTGATCCTAATAGGGTAAAATAATCTTCTAATTTTTACTAAAATCAGAGTAATATTATATGGACCCTGAATAAGTTAATGTATACACTGGTATTTACCTCTGTTCCCAGATAACAATATTTGGAGAGAGTGCTGGGGCAGCATCTGTGGGGTTCCACCTGGTCTCAGGCAGTCAGGGCCTCTTTCAAAGGGCTGTGATGCAGAGCGGCTCCCCTAATGCTGCATGGGCCATAGCAAATAAAACTGAGATATATGACAGGTATGTGTGCTTAGTATTGAGCTAGTTGATCCTGGATATTTTGTGTATACTCCCAGTTATTTTCTTTACCTTAAATCAACTACAAGTGAATATCAACATTTACAATGAACACATCTAAAATTTTTGTCATTCAAGTAATATTAAAATACATACAACTAAGATAAATACTACAGGCACTTTTGCAGAAGCAAAAACATCCATCATGTTATTTTTTGCAAATAGGACAAGCAGGGAGGGACAAAAGGGGTGAGGGACAGGAAGCCATAACTTTTTCATATCAGAATAAAATTGCAAGGCCATGCTCTAAACTGACTAACATTAATATCATCAAGTAAAATAATTGTTTGTTTTAGTTATCTTTTACCTTTAATAAACACCCAAGGACAGCATTCTTTCTTCACCAACTACTGCTACATTTGTAGTCTTAAATAAAAACTTCAATGAAAATTATCGGGATCAGTGCTGGTATCAGCAATATTGACCCTGTATGTTCTTGGTATTGGATCGACTCCAAGAAATGCAGTATCACACGACTCAAACTTTTGATCTGCTGTGGAAGATCAAAGGTTTACAGCACCAACACAAACATTTTCATTTAACAAACTACAAATGTCCAAAACTCACCTCTTTGCACTGAAATGTTATTCCATTCAGTGTCATTTAATTTTAAGAGGATCAAACCAAATTTTCATGATTTTAATCTTATATTGTTTCAAGCTAAATTATAAAATCGAACCACTTTATTTCCAAAGATAGTGTGACCCACTTTAAAAGAAAATGATGGGAGACCTCAATTGGATGTAATTATGATATTTTCTTTTTTGTCACATGTTATATAGATGTAAATGTGCTTCACTGTGCCCATATATTGACTTCATTCAAATATTGAATTAGTATTAACAGTCACCTCGTTCAGATTGGCACTTGGAGGATGGTTGACTACAGTGCCAACCATTTCCATTAATCATCAGTGTCAAACTGCTGCATTACACATTACATGGACAAGTATTAATTTTTAATAATAAAAAAGAATATTATCTTAATTAGTGAGAATGCAAATGAATTGTAAACTAAATGCAAGAAACGAATAATCAACATGATCTAACTAAATTAACCAAGGACAGATTGATCTAAATTTTAGTCAAAATAAACACTAAACAGACGTAACAAATGATCAAAACTATGACTCCAGAAAAAACACCAAGACAACCAAAGAGCCCAAGGCCTAGAAGTTATATCTTTCTTTTTAAAGTGGTTTGAATGAATGTTTATTATTTACTTTACATAGTGTTACATTTCCTGCTTTATTTTAAGTAATTGCTTTATTCTGACCCAACAAACAGATCCTTAAAACTAGCAACATTGCTAGGCTGCCCCCTGGATAATCCTGCTCGTCTGGAGTCTTGTTTGCTGAATGCTGATCCTGAAAAGATGTCAATCAAGCAATCTGAAAATCTTGTACCGCCTTCAGTTTTGCCCTTTCCATTTGTCCCACATATTGATGGAGACGTCATACCATCTGATATAGAAGTAAGTCTCTACATCACGGGTCCCTAAAGTCAGTCCTTGAGGAATCTTAACTCCAGTACATGCTATTTTTCAAAGAAATATTAAGATTTTGTGGTAAATTCCTGTAAATTTGTGGTCCCGGAAATGTCTTAATTTAGATATGGAACCAGTAGTTGTGAGTTACTGCCTGTTAATGTTCTACTCACAAGGAAAGTGACGTTCATTACCAATAAACAATGCAATTCAACATAATTTCTGAAATGATCTTAGAAAGCCGTAACAAAAAAGTTTGCCTTGTCCATGAATACCTAACAACAAGAACATTTTTAATTGGTAATGGGTCCAACATCATTATTTTAATCATGTCTTTTTTCTTCTGCAGACGTTGCTAAACATAAGTACTCTTCCCAAAAAAGAGCTGTTGATCGGCTTGAATAAAGATGAAGGGACTTTCTTTCTTTTTTATGGAATGCCTGGTTTCTCTCTCGAGGGGGAAAGTTTCATCACCAGGAAGGACTTTATGGATGGTTTACCACTAGTACTCACAAATTCAAGTGAGATTGTTAAAAAAACCGCTATTTCTCACTACACTGATTGGCAAGATGAAAACAATATGAAGACCAACCGTGATGAAATGGGTAGGATGGTTGGAGATGTGCTGTTAAATTGTCCTGTGATGGACTTTGCTACTCGGTAAGTTCCAGGTCTCAGGTTAAGTGAAAAATACTTTTATATAGAAAAACATCCTCTGTTCTAACTGGTGTACATATGTTTGATCCCTGAAAGCAATACCAAGTAAACTTTCTAGAATTATTGATAGAACTACTACTTAATTTTGCTTCATCTTCACTGAAATAAGTGTCACCACTGAACTGTGGCAATATTTCTAAGGAAATGCAAATGTGATGTATTTATAGACTTTTCTTTAATTTTTTAGGTATGCAGAACACGGTGGTAAGACTTTTTTTTATTTTTTTGACCACGTGTCATCCAAAAATCCTTGGCCAAAATGGGCAGGTGTTATGCATGGCTACGAGATAGAATTTGTCTTGGGCTGCCTCTGAACACTTCATTAAAGTACTCAGAGGATGAAGTGACAATGTCCAAGGCAGTTATGCAGCATTATGGCAACTTTGCCCGAAATGGGTAAGCTAAACAGATCCTCAATCAGTCATGGAGGGATTGTGAGAAATCTAAAAACACTTTTGTTTTACCTTTTCAGAAATCCAGGGTTTAAAGAAGGTGCTTGGCCAGTCTTTACCATTGACGCTCAGGAGTATGTCACTTTGAATAATGACAGTCAAGGAGTAAAGAAGAGGTTAAAAGCTAATGAGTGTTATTTGTGGAACACCTTGATGCCTGAATATCAAAAGTTGTCAGGTGAGACACACACTAACAAATCCCTCTACACAGTCTGACACAAATGTACATGTTAAGTTTCATATAACGCATCTTTAGTTGGAAGGTTTTTGAGATGTTTTACCTGTTGAGATTAGCCGTTCTGGTTTGCTCTAATTTTTTTAAACAAAATTTCAACTCAAAAGAGGAAATTAAAGTTTGTAACTGAAACCATTCCTTGTGAAAGATTACTTGATCCCACACACAGTCTCTTTGCTCTTTGTCTTTCACAGATTCCGAGCCACAGTGCAGTTCAAGTGGGATTGTTCAATACAATTGGGTGTTCCTTCTTATTTTGTTAGTTATCAGTTTAACCCATTGAAACTGATAACTAAATAGACATTAAACACTATTTAGTTCAAGTGTTTAATGTCTAATGTGTAACAGGTGGGTGCTTGTTTTTCTTAAATATGTCAAATATTCTCAGAGCACCACCTGAAGGCTGTAGGTTGATTCTCGGGGCCCTATAGCCTGTTTTACTTAAGGGTTCACTGCAAAGCATAGTTTGAAAAAAGGCCCTTTAAAATCATGTTGCATTGTTTGAATAATTTGCTTTCTATGTTGATTAGGAATGGTTTATAAAGTGGTTAATCATTAAAAAAGGCTTATGCTAAGTGCCCTTGACTGTTTTTTTTTCGTTTGTCATTTGTTATAGACACACAAGAAGCCACCAATCCTTCATTGGCCTTTTTAACATCTTGTTAATAAATACAAACACGGCATTTGCAATAGAAAAAAAGTCTAGGTCTCTCTCTCTTGTTTATAAGCTACAATTGTTAGAGCTATTTCTAAGCTTGTGGTTTGCTTATTATTGCTCCAGCATCTCCATAGCAACTGCCTACCAAGATGGCTATCAGTTACAAGGTTCACTGAAGTGTGATGTCACATAAGAACTTTAACCCATCAAAAGCTTACATAACTACTGCATCATCTTTTTGGCTTTCAGATATTGCATACATGCATAGTAAAAACTTCCTGTCAGTTTCTGAGTTTTCAGAAATTTAAACTCAGGGGTTCAAGCTTATTAGCTCTAACCCTACTATTCAATCTTGCAACAAACAGACACAACTCTGGTCATCTGAACTAACCTCAAACATGAAAACTCACTAAGTGTCCAACAAATGTGAGAAAAATGTTTGTGTCCACAATGTTAGATTCTTAACCAATATCTGTCTTAAAGAATATGCTGCCCTTCTATTGTTGTCACCATGTTAGGTGCTTTTGTCCATAGAAAAAAAACAAAATCAGTAGATTAAAACTAATGTATTAAAATTCTGTCAAGAAACATTAAAAGGGTAAAACGTCAAGGAGGATAAATACATTTTTATCTGTTTTGTAGATCAACAATGACATTCTAGAAGGCTGACAGTGCAGACTGCATATTCTCAGACAGTGGAGGGATATCAGTTCCATTACTAGTTGCAGAAGCCAGTCACAAGTACCTTACCTTTGACTGCACTTAAAGGCAGTCAAAGGCCTTTGACATATTGGAAAAACATTTTTCAATATATGTTTTGCAGTTTGGTGCCCATGAGTAAAATTATCCAAGTTAATTTATATTTGATTTTTCAGTTGATTTGTGTTGACATGATTTGGAAAACACAAATCAAGAAAGTGTAAGAAATATTACACTTTCTTGTTGTTGAGATTATAAAAGAAAGATTCACTCTGAAATATCAAGAGAGTCCTATGTCATAGAACAATGAATTTTTGACTGTTGAAGACAATTAAAGCTGGAGAGAAATTACTTTCTTGAGGTAGTTCTTACGTCTGCAACAGACTGGCAGCCTATCCAGGGTGTACCCTGCCTCTCGCCAGGAAAACACCGGCACCCCTCCAGATCCCATTAGGGACAAGGGTGTTGGAAGATGGATGGATGTCTCCATTGCAATGCAATCAATCTTGTCTCCATTGCAATGCAAAAAAATTATCTGATTGAGGCACCCTTGACTCTTTTTACTTCAAAAGGTTTTTTTTTCCCAATATGTGATAAAATTTCAAATAATTAGAAACCATAGTTTGGGCTTTTTTCTGTCACCAGATTTAAATAAAACAAAGCAGAAACTAAAGCATTTTTCAAACATAATACAATCTAACTTTGCATTAATATGTTTTGTTCATCTTTCTGTCAAGCCAAGTTCAAAATCTAAAGTTTCTTTCATCAATTTTGACTGTATATAGAATATTTTTGATATCTTTTATATTGCTTTGTAAGTTTGTCTTGGCTTTAATAATTGTCCTTTAGTCTTGTACCAATAATGTTTGTTATTCAACCTCTTGCCTTGAGCTTTCCAGACAGATACATTATATGGCTACTTTACCATCCATATCTTCAGAAAAAGGAATAAATGCTAAAAACAGCAGTGAATTCCTGTCACCCAGTTTACTTGTGATTTCTCCTCCTCAGCAAGTGCAGATTTAGAGACAGGAATTTCTTCTTGAAGATGAAAACAGGTTTATTAGTCACATTAGGAGCTTGGATATGGAACCTGCCTTGGAGTTCAGATAAAAAACATTAACTCACCTTTTCAAAAATGTAGCACACTACAGTCAATCTGTATTACTAAAGGTTTGGGGGAAATGTCTTCCACCATAGCAGTACACACCTTGATTAGAACTGTGAATTTTATCTTTACTTTTAGTATTGTCTGGTATTTAAAATACTTATATGTTGTTAAACATTTACATGCGGCAAACACATCAAGCAAAAAACAGAGGAAGCAGTAGCCGCTCAGAGAGAAAAGCTAAATATAATTATATTCATGAAGATGTTTCACAATTACCCGTTGTCCTCCTTCATTTTCCTTCAGAAAGCAAGTTGCAAACTTATTCTACAGCCTCCACTTGTGGCATTGCAGTATGGTTCTGTTTATGCATTGTTGGATACGTAGCAATGTGTAACTTTTAGAATGATTCCTCTGCATTACTTTAGAGTGACCTTACCAATATTTCTTTTTAGACTTTGATATGTGCAACATGTATGTAATCTAAATTAAAATGTGGAGGAAAATTAAAGAGTGCACAAACAACTCTGTGACTCAGTATAAAGTTGAGGCTAAAAACATTGACTAGATATTTTCCCAGTAGTGTTGTTGTCTATTGAAACTCTTGGCAATTGCTGTTATGGCTCCCATTCAACAATATTTACTGTTGGACCACATATAAAATTAGAATTTCCACTTCCTTCTGTGGTTTGTTTGTCAGCATACATAGCATCGTTGGCTGGTTCGCCATTGGAAGTTACCCAAGCATCTGGTGTGTTAAAGGCAAAACCAACCAGTGGTTGGAATGTGTTTTTATTTTCTTACCCCATAAATAAAGTGCTGCCACACTGCTGCCCTCACAACCACTTTGGTGTTTCATATGCAGTGAAAGGTCAGACTGGGTCTCCCTGATAGTTTGCATGCCAATTTGAAAAGGAAAGGACTAAGGAGGAGAGGGATAAGTTAGCTAATATGTGAAAAAGACAGGCGAAAGACATTGAAGTGGCTGAAAAATGTACAAAGAAAAAGACAATAAAAGTAGCATGAGGTGAAATTAACAGATATTTTCTTTCACTCTGTAAGCAAGCACTGTCTACATGGCTCTACAATCCGTTCCCAGACTTGGCATGCAGTTTTTTTTTTTTTTATGTGTTTAGGACACACAGAACATTAAAGGCAGCCTGTCAGTAGTGTTACTCTATGCATGCATGAATAACTCATTTAATTCTACAACAGAAGACAGATTTCTTTGTATATATATATATATAAGTCATTTTAGGAAAAAGTCTGTTCAGATTTTGGAATTATATCTAAATATTCAGACTACACATCTCGTTCTATTCTGTTTTAAAAAAAAATAATATTTAGCCTTTTTCTTGCTAGCTCAAGAAATATACATATAAAGTGAGTCATTAGCTTCCTGTCTGTTTAGTGCTTTTCTTAAGTTGATTTTCATATCTTGTTTATAATCTAACACTATGAATTATTTGCAAAAATCACATACAGCTTATCATTATTGCTGTTAAGTAGACAAGGACGGGGTCATCTGTGGTCTAAGAGTTGTAAAAGAGGGACAAAGTACATATATTTCCAATCAGAGTAGAAATGAGCAGAAGGAGGAGAAACAGGAGAGAGGAGCAGGAACCATGAAAATAAAAGGCCAGGTATAGATGCCAAGTGCAGGATTAGGATGTTTCTTTCCTTAGGATTATGTTGACCTGTTCAAATCCAAACCACAGCTTTTTCACATCTAAAAACATTCTATGAAATTATTGTGATGTCTTGATGTCTGGATCTGTATAACTTTGAAAGTTTTTTCTTGTTCCCCAGTATTTGCTTTTTAGGCTGTTTGTATAACTGTCATGAGGACACGATTGTCCTCATGAACCCATTGGACAACATGTAAGTGTTTTCAGGGAGACAGTTAAGGGGTTAATAAACTTTTGTTGACTGTCATTAAATACATACACCCACACAGTAGTTTTGATTGTTAAAAAAACTTTGTTTTTCCATACAACACAGAAAGTTCTGTCATTTTAAAATTGCGATTCCACTTTTGTCTTGTGTGTGATTGGATGAAAGGCCACTCCAACCCAAACTCCCAGGCTGAATTTCAACCCCTGCCTGCCCCTGGATACTATCCATCTCTCCATTTTCTCTCTCCTATGGCCACTGGGAGAGAGACTGTGGACAGATCTCCAATTCATTACAAAGCAACACAGAGACAACAGTGTTTCTGAGTTTCCACGCTGTTCTCTCCCTCTTGAGCTACATCCAGCACATAAACTACAAACTCCTCTTTTGACCCATGTGCCCAGATACAGTGTGAATGATCCTATTAATTCTGCTTTTTAAAGGATTTTCTGTGTTCTTTTAAAGATGTATTAATGTTGCATAAAGCTACATTTAGCAGTGATTTTTCTCCCACTCTTCTCACTCTGTGTCTGGCCCACGTAGAGCTGTGCTTTTCTGACAATGTCATCCTCATAGTGATGGCATCCTGACTTTTGAGGAGTTAAACTGTCAATAGCTAAACAGACATCAGGTTTCCAGATAAAGATTTTATTTAGGACAAGCTGAGTATAGAGCATCTTTATCACAGTCGCATGTATTAGCATTCTTTTGTGAGTCTCCAAAACTCCGGTCAGGCTGTAGCTTCTCCACTAAACTTCAAAGTACTGGCTCTTAAATGAGTCTTTTAAGCTCCAGCTCATTTACAGGTTTATGCAGCCACATCTCCTTCATGAGTGTCTGAAATTCTGTTTCGTGAACGGTACTGTAAGGTCCTGGCTCCAAGTTTTCTACTACTTCATCTCAGCAGTTTAACGCATGTGAATATCTGAAAATTATTGATACGTTAATATTTCATAACGTAGATTAATCAATTTACTATTTTGAGATAAAGGCACTAGTTCACACCAGTGCTTAATGAACTCGACACATGAAGAGTGACAAAAGATGAAAAAGGTAATTTTACTGTATTTTTTGGAATTCGGTAAAACACTGGCAGTTTTGGTTGCCAGAATTTGACCATATAAATACAGTTAAGTTCTGGCAACCAGAGCTGCCAGTATTTTACTGTAAATTAGAGAATTGTTTTATTTTTTTACAGTGTGACTTAACTGATGATATCGTGATTGGCTCTCTCCTGTTATGTTCTAATGAACATAATAACATCAAATTATTTTAAAAAACGTATCCAGATGGTGCAGTTGGGATTATTGCAAAGACACATGGTTTTCTTCAAATTCAAAGCACTTCTGTTGACTTTAACTCAGAAAATCTAATGCAGTATGACAATAAATCAGGGTCAGCTTTATTGCCCAAGTTTATGTGCACAAACAAGGGGTGGTCAAATCCGCTTTCATTGTACAGATATCAAATATAAACATATGGAATTCAGAAGAAATAAAAGACAAAGAAAATTTTTCCCTTTCTTTATTCACACAGCTTTGTATAATGATGGGGAAATGAGGCATCATGAAGCGTTTCGAGCTTTTCTGACAACTGTATTGATACTGTGTCGATACTGTGTCACTGAATGCATCGCTGCTGCTGGACCCATCACTCGCTTTATACCTGATATCATTTCACTTTCACAAAGATGCTTTTTTGTGACTTAAACATTTAACCAGTGATAACATAGAGTTTTAATTACATGGATCAACCTTGTACTGCCTGTCTATTAAAAGTATAACCACTTTGGTGTCATTCACAGTGACAACGTAATTGGCATTCTCCTTTAAAAACCACCTCAGTGCCTGCATACATTATGCAGTGTGTGGGTTGATGTCATCGGTTGATATAAAAATTTGCCCAGCAGTAGAAATGAATAATTTTTTTTAACTTTCCCATGTCCATGTTGCAAAGTTTAATACTTCTGCTTGTGTTGTTCATAAAGCCATCTTGTTCAGTTTTATTGCCATATAATTTACCTTTCATTTCTTTTTAGTCAAGCATTACCTTACTTTCTATCTGTTAAGAAACAGTATATAATAATCAAAACGTGTTTGGCTGAGCAATTTATGTACCAAATTCATATTAAGCTCAAAATAGTAATTTATATTTCAATTTGACCTTGATCAAAATATTTGTTTTAGAAAGATCAATTGTGATTTAATCAATCACATTCTCAACAAGATGATAGCCAGAAAAAAAAATTCTTATATAGTAAAATGTGTTAAAATATAACTGGTTTTTGGATGATATCTCTTTTTGTCATTAAAGTGGAGTATCATGTATTATCAACTTTTTTTTTAGCTTT